TTAGTTACAATTTTGCGGCGGATGCAGCCTATTTGGCACGTTGGCTTGGAATGTGAAGTTAGCAAAGAATAATTATACCAGATTCAAATGCAGGTTTGTGTTCAATGACAATTCAATGACGTACAATCTTCTTAGATACGAATAGACTTTAGAAGATACATTTTTTAGATATGTTTTCGTATGCCATCAAAGCGCTTACAAAAAAGAGGATCAAGGAAATAATAAAAAATGGAAAATCAGCAGTTGAGTGCCGAATCTGAGGTCAAAATGTTATAAACAGTGCTGAGCATCAGGTCCGAATGTTGCCATGCGTTTGGCGCGGTTTTTATATTAAATCAGCTGTCCACCCCCTTTGTACAATTTTGCAGCGGATGCGGTCTGTTTGGCACGTTGCTTTATGCGTCCTTGTGTTTTACATGCAAGATGAATTTGTCTGAATCATTCAAACACTTTCAATCCGGTGAACAAATTTTCCGTGCATTTTACAGGAAAACATAGTACTAAACAGTGACAAAGCTGTTCAGCGCCAGCGGTTGAAAAACTTGAAAAACATAAAAACGCAAAGTTTTTTAAGCATTGGCTGGTAGTTGTGTGCCACTACGACATCGGCATAATACTCATATTAGGGTTCCAATAACATCAGTAAGTAGGTGTCGCGCAGAAGTTACCAAAGGTAATAAACATTTACCCAGTGGATGCCCAGCACACGGTGAAACAGCAAAAAATCGTAAAAAACATAAATGAAATTTAGCTCTAGCAGTCAAGTCCATTCAACCTCCCAACGCTAAATCATATGGTGTGGGGCATTAGACATATACTTGTCCAATTATTGTCTAAGATTTTTGAAATGTTTAGTAAAACAAGTAAATAAAAATTATATTTGCTGATTTTGTGCCGCGCTGACGGGGCAACATTCCAACCTGCAACTTAGCACTGCTTAACATTTTGACCTTAGATTCGGCACTCCACATACCTGTTGCGTAGTTGCCGAATCAATTCTATAACGGAATGTTTACATGCTGCCGGGGCGGATCGCATTGCAAAAATCCATCTACCATAGATTCAAATGAATCTGCGTCCACTCTGCAATTCCATTTTAATCTATAGTAGACGGATTTTTGCGATGCGATTCGCCCCGACCTGTTCCGCTTAGTGAACGGGTACCTCAGATCAGTATCAACCAGTCTATCGCGCAGCAATAACGGTATCTCCTACAACACTGACTATTGTGTATAAGTCGATCTCCATTACTTCTCAGGAGGTACATAAATTGCATGTTAAAAAAAAATAGGTAACCATGAAAAAAAAAAAAAAATGCGAGGTCGAGCCGAAAGTTATTTATTGTGGGAAGTTATCCAACAAAAGACCCTTTTATTCAAGCTGGTACGCCAATGCTGAATGAAAAAGATAAAAAATTCCAGATAAAAGATGAACAGCAGTGTTTGCTAGCATCATATAGCATTTTGGAAAATACAAATTTTAAAATTCTTCTTACCAAATCAGAAAATACTCTTGGTATTACGCCACTGGAATACACCCTTGTATTATGAGCTGTAACTTGGATTAGTTCAATAAGCTGTTTAATTGCATAGTATAATTTATAAACTACTGTAGCAATTTTTTTTCTGCACGCCACTGTAGACAATAGGGTTCAATAAGTGCTCCAATCTTTTCTCGGTTCCAAGAAATTCCACGTCATGCAATCGTATGAAAAAAAAATACCCATTCTCAAGAGAAACCCTGAGAAAGTCCGTTTTTTAGGGATAAATGTAGCTCTTATTTTAAAAATTTTGGGATAGTCGGTCTCCATTACTTCTCAGGAGAACAGTCAATTGCACGTTTTTTTTTTTAAAGCTACCCATGACATGAAAAAATTCGAGGTCGAGCCGGAAGATATTATTTCGGGATGTTATTCAAAGAAGCACCCTTTTATCCAAGCGGGTACGCCAATGCTAAATAACAAGGTTAAAAAAATTCCAGATGAAAGATGAACAGCAGTGTAGACCAGCATCATAGCATTTGGGAAAATACCAATTTTCAAGTTCTTCCCACCAAACCAAAAGATGCTCTTGTTACGCCACTGGAATACACTCCTGTATTGAGAGTAGTAGCTTAGATTTGTTCATTAAATGGGTAGTTGCACCAACACTTTTTAATCTTCGTTTAACAGTAAACTTGGTTCAAACCAAAGAAATCCATTGCACCGTTTTTTAAAGAAAGTTTAATTTGATTTGAACTTGGTTTAACTTAAACGGTCATCTTTGATGGTTTAGGAGAAGTTTTTTACTATTGAACGCACAGAAGGGAAATTCGTAGTGTAATGACATGCCGACTGTTGTTGTTTACGGTTATTTTCATGTTGTAAGGTTAAGTATAGTGTTAAATAAAATAAATAAAACAAATTTCTGCTAATAAATAATTATTAGGAGAATTATTATTAAAATGAACATTGATTACGAAGACATTTTTGACGACGACTTAGAAATCCTTGAAATAATCCAAAATGGGATTCCAAGGAGAGTCATCCAGCGCAAGAATCATTTCGATGAAATGAGCCCCTATACATTCTTCCGCAAATTTCGTCTTTATAAAGACACTGCATTGCGTGTTTTGGAACAAATAGAGCCGGAACTTGAATATCCCAACAATATGTAAGTAGAAGCTAAACAAAATACTTGAGAATATATGTGTAAGTAGGTATACTTTGCTTAAGCAAAAGCTAGGATCTTACTACTTAAGCAAGAGTAAACCTAATGAAATATCAATTTTAATCAGGTATGCTGATATATTATATTCTAGGAACAATAGTGTATCTCCTATCAACCAGTTGTTGATTACATTGAGATATTATGCTACTGGGGGCCATCTAAACTTTTTAGCTGATTTTGGAGGTATGGATACTTCTACAGTATCAAGAATAATTGTCCGAGTATCAGAAGCAATTGCAAGGCTTTACCCTCAATATATTAATATGCCCCAACCACAAAATATTATAGATGAGCAAATTAAGTTCCATGACATTGCTCGATTTCCAAGAGTTCTTGGAGTTGTCGATGGAACACATATTAAGATACAAAATCCAGGTATGCGTACTGTTGATGAGAAAACTCAATAATTTTCTATCAAGAGACTAGCTAATTTTAAGTAAACAGAAAATTTAAAGCCTTATCATTTCTTGAGAACACCCTGTTTTATTTGAGATTGATTTTACTATGAATGTTTGTACACTTGCATAAGGTCATTCGAACAAAAATTGTAGGCGTAAAGATTTGTAAAACGCAATTATTTACTTTGAATGTTCTGTCTAAAAAAAAAACATCACCTAGGTACTTAGCAGTCTCAAATATTTTAGAAAATAGCGAATTTGTTATGATCTACTATTTTTTAAGATATTTGAATCTATCTTTTGTTCAAATTAAAAAATAGAGCGTGATTGATTATTGTTTTATATCCGTTGACTTTTGGCTTTAAACAGGATAGATCATCGAACTAGGAAAAAACATTAATTACATTCGCAATATTTTTGCTTTATTAGGTGGAGATGATGGGGAAGTATTTAGAAACCGCAAGGGTTATTTTTCTATCAATACTCAAGTAGTATGTGATGCTGATATGAAATTTGTGGATGTTGTAGCAAGATGGCCTGGATCTGCACATGATGCTACAGTCTTTATGAATAGTAGAATATGTGCGCAATTCGAAAACAGACAATATCGAAATGGTTTGCTTCTGGGTTAGTATGAATATTTTTAATACCTACTATTACTTTCAAAAGCTTCTGTCACCAATGCTTAGTTATAAAAATAATTAACATAAAGGATTCTTACATGTTGTATGATAATAAAATAGAGCTCAGTTACTCAATTCTGAAATTTTAGGAGACAGTGGCTATCCGTTACTACCATTTTTGTTGACACCCCTCGAAAATCCAGTTACAGACCCTCAACAATTATACAATGAATCTTTCATCAGAACCAGAAACATAATTGAAAGAACAATCGGAGTGTGGAAAAGTCGATTTCCATGCTTAGCATACGGCATGCGCATAAAAACACAAACTGCTTTGACTGTAATAATAGCCACTAGTGTCCTACATAATATCGCTAGGGCGATGAACGAACCAGAACCCCCTGTATTGAATGCAGAAAGACTGAATTATTTTATCGACATTGGTCAAATGGAATATCGAGAAGGTCATTTAAATATTCCAGCAGCAGCACACCTGATTCAAAATGATATTGTTAATAACTACTTTGGAGGCATTTAAAATAATAAGAAAATAAAATTAACTTCATATTTTTGATCCAGTTTTTTATTTGGTAAATTCTGAATATACACAAAAAAATATCTGGCAAAATTTATAAATACAGTCTTATAACACATTGGTACAAATCGAGGTACAAAAACATAGAAACTAGGATCAGGGTTTTCCCATATAAATGTTCACCCACCCCATGTGATAATATAGATTGTGTTCCATTCAAGGAAGTTAACAAGCTGCCAAAATTTTATACTAACAATAAAAATGAATTTTTAATTAAAAATTGTCATGATTCAGAAGTAAACAACTTTGACAACTTTTGATAACTTTTACTTTTAAAATAGCCCTGTTCTAGGTGGGTGAACATGTATAGGAGAAAACCCTGTAGCTACCTAATTAAGGGATTTTGGTTCAGACAAACACTGATGAAACTTCTATTTCAGTTGCTTTTCCCTTTGGATTTGGAGAGTTAGAAGCTCCACTCTGAGCTCATGTTCTTTCAACTCTGCTTTTATTTGGTTTTGCAACACTTGTTTTTGATAGTTTGCAATTTCTAGTCTCTCGCTTACTAATTTATCATATTTTTCTGATAAATCAGAGGCTGCCAATGTTTTCACAAATGTTCTAGGCCTTCGCCTGGATGTTGTGTTGCTGGGTGTTGCCTAAAAATGAAAGGAAAAAATTATTTCAACGTGAGATAGCAAGACAGACTGTACAAGGTAACAATTTCAAAATTGGTAGAATGTATGGCATCTCTAAAATAAAAAACATAAATACCAATAGTGTGTCAGGAGTATAAGCGAGAATGAAACAGGTTTGAGGGTTCAAGTATTTTACTTGTTTGACATACCACTTGTTTGTAAAAACTTTAAGCATTATATTATATACTTACTAGCATTGACTCTGGATTGAGTGCACTGTCTGTGGCTGATTTCAAATCTTGAACTGTGTAGCGTTTCCAGTTCTTTGATTGATTTTGTTTTAATTTTTGTGTTTCACTTTCCATTGACGTCGTTGCTTTTCTCTTAAAAAAAATATTCTCTATGATTACATTATCTAATATTTTGCTAGCTTGTAGCTGTAATGGTAGTACCGAACACTGACAAGGTCTTTTAAAATTATGATGAGAATATAATTATTATCCTGTACTTAACAAACAAAATGAGGCATTGGCCCAGACCAATATGATGTGATCCAAAAACTACATAAGTACCTTTTTTTCTTCTGGTTTTCCTTGTGAGGCTTTCTTTTCCTCAATGGTATCCTCAAACTCAAAAATACTATCTTCATGATCATTCTCAAAGATGAATTCAATAGCATTGTCTTCTAAGATTACGTCCTGTGACTCTTGGGAAGTTGTTGGGTTTGAAGTATTGATGTTTATAATTGCATCTCCACCAAAAGGGGTCTCAAGGCCTTGTACACTTTTATTGGAAACAATAGACATAAGCAAATCATCAAGTGGTTCCTTTTTTGCTTGGTTGTCTGGCAGGCCACCTCCAGTTTTATAAATTTCCCGTCTTTCAGCAGCTACTGATTTTCTCAACAGTTTTTTCCTGTTTTCATAACATCGTTTTAAGCATTCCACAGCTCTTGGGCAAGAGGGCCCCGCACTGTTATACTCCTGTGCTATTTTTTTCCACATATCTTGTTTTTCACTGCTTGTAACCGCATCAGTTTTTTTATTTTCTATTATAGTTTTATATTTTGCAACAATATTAATTAAAAGGGCTTTATCGTTGTTTGTAAAATTAGCTGATCTCTTTTTTATTTGTGAATGCGATGTTAGTGGATCCATTTTCTTGAATCAAGCAATGCAAATAGCACAAAAAAACTTTCAAATATAGGGGGTCACTGCTTCGATTAATTAGATTTGGAAGAACTAACTCAGCAGCAGAGAATATAAAATAACAAATAATTGACTTTTTAGTTTTTAGGATTTGGATTTTAGGTTATATTTTCTTTGACATTTGACAAATTTTGAACATATTCGCCAACCCAAACGAAAAAAATCCCAGAAATTACTAGTTTAATCAAACCGAGCTTAGTTCTGTGCCGTGCAACGTAAGGTCAAGTAATCGGGGTTTATTTTTGAATCTCAGTTTTATTAAACTTGGATTAACAGAATCTTGGTGCAACTAGCCATAAGCTGTTTAATTGCATAGTATAATTCAATTTATAAATTCAGTTTTAATCACATAATGTCGAAAGCAAATTTTTTCTGCACGCCACTGTAGGCAATACGTTCAATGAGTGCTTCAATCTTTTCTCGGGTCCAAGAAATTCCACTTCATGCAAAAGTATGAGAAAAAATACCCATTCTCAAGCGAAACCCCGAAAAAGTCACTTTTTTAGAGATACATGTAACCCTTTCTTAAAAATTCGATAATTTGCGTTAAAGCCAACTTTCGAAAAATTTGAGAAATTACTTTTTTTGGGATAGTCCAAAGATCAAAAAGATGCATATAAAAATTTCCAAGATCAAAAATTGAGAATCTGGCATAGCCCCAAACTTTGCTAAAAAAACACGACTTCCTTTACTCACCCTGTTTGAGTGGACAAATGAAAGAAATATACCGATCAAACCTTGTGCGTGTTCTCAAAGAGTTGGTCAAGAACCTCCCGAATACCGCAACTCGATATCTCTTTCCGTTCCGCAAACATCGAGATTTGAATTTGGGTATGTACGACGCACTAAATACACTGAAAATCGGTTTCGGTCAAAATGTCTGAATTTTTTATATGATGTAGTCCATGTTGCCCTTATAGTTTACGTGCAAAAAAAAAGGGGGGGAACATCGAGTAGTTTTCGAGATATAGAGTGTCAAAGTGGCGCCATCAAGCCTATGCTTTAGCACACTTAGCACCTATTTTTATCAGTTCAGTTTGCTATAACATTACAAAAATGAAAAAGATTGACCCAAAGGGTTAACAAATCTTCCGAAAAAAAAAACTTTTATATTTCCCTGCCTTAAAAACAGGCCAGTGAATAAGAGTCAAATATTAACGTTAATGGTGTACGTAAAAATTGGTATATTGAAAGTAGCTATGTTGATGCTCACCACACTTCCGAAAACAAAAGAAGTGACCAGTATATTGCTGCATCTGAACAGAAAAAAATCTTATTTTCCCCATTCATTTCTCACTTCTCAAAAGAAAAAAAATCCAATTCTTCCCCCCAAAAAAAAAAAACGGATTATATAATCGGAAAGATAGTTTTTTAGTGGCATTTCCATATCACAGGGGTGTATAAGTATTTAATCTTTACTGGAGAAGGAAAAAACATTCTTATGTAACTATAAATTCAGTTTTAACGTGATAATACTGCTGAACTTGTGCATATTATGGTGATTATTATAACATAAGAAGATTAATTTTTTTTTTTGACCAAGGGAAAGGTGCATACGTTCTTTTTCCATATATGAATAGAATGTCAAAATATAAGTTTGATAGTTTGCACAGGTTGCTGCATATGTCTCTATGACGTTACAAAAATAGAAGTTAGAAGTAACTTCAATCTTCTGTAAAAAAGCTGCATAATTTTCCATTCCTCGATCGCAAATAACAAAATCGCACTGGTATTTAGAGAAACTAGCTCTTGAAAAAAAAAATAACTGGACGTTCACCAACTTTTCCACTCCAGCTAGAGCCAAACAACATTTTATGAGAAAGAGAAATATCTAAGATCTTGTTGGTAAGTAGAAAAACCTACAAAAAAAATGATGTTGAATCATATTCTAACTATATAGGAAAATGGCACTTCAACCCCTGCGTCTTGGGAAATGGACTAAGAAATAAGAGAACTTGTTAATTATCGATATTCAATATATTTATTATATCGAACACAGCGTGGAAAGCAGAGCGTGTGAACTCATAGAAATAACTATACGAACTGACTCAACATCAAGACAAAGAATTACAAACCCTTTCTTAAGTAAACGATTCCTCATATGTTTATCTTACATATAAAAACTATTATAAACACATTCAGTCATCCATAGCTGCGATATAAATTAGCAAAGTATAGGCTAATAATCAAAGTTTAATTTATTAATTTTTTTGTTTCACTGATATAAATATCAGTTTATCCAACACGCCACCTCAAAAATTTGATCAATTATACTAAAAGTGTAATACAACTTAAACCTAGTATAACATAAATAGGCCTGCTTTCCTTATGTGTGTCTTTTCTGGGGAAAATTACAATAACGGTCCAGCATTTGCTGCTCGGGATTAGGGAAAACCCAAAAAAACCTAATCAAACCATTTAACTTATTTACTAAGCCTAATTCCATTTTAATTTCTCAAATTTCACTTGCATCAATGATTTGGTAAACATGTCTGCTAGTGGTTTATCTGTGGACAAATTCATATTTTATATTAATTACGATCAATTACATATGATTTGATCTTTTGTGATTTGTTGGATTATTTGTAATACTTATTGAGGTCCATTGTGGTCCTCCTAGGTCATAATTGACTCTGATATTAATGTTTATGCATATTTTCTGCTAATGATTTTAACCAAAGAGCTTCTGTGACAGCTTAAAAAAGAAAACCATATATTCGGCTTCAGTAGATGATGCCGCTACTGACAACTGCCTTTTTGTATTCCAACATATCACACAAATTTCAAACAGTATAAATAAATATCCTGTGCTTTTTGTATTGTTTATATCATGCATCTTCACCTTCTTGGTCAGGATTAATAGAATCACTCAAGAAATTAATATATTCACAACTAAAATATTGTGTCAACTTCACATTGATGTTACCCTTAAGATATCTAAGGACCCTTTTCAAATATTGCCAAAACTTTTTATTATTCTTGTTTTAATACCTGCTCAAAATATTAACAATGGTACTTGAATCAGGCTTGATATACATAACATAATATACATTAAACAGACGATTAGATTCCGGCAAGGGCTATCATGTTTTTCTTCTGAATTTTAACCAATCAAATTCAGTTTACTAGGAAGTAAAGTGCTGACACAGCTGATGGCACAACAGTCATTCATATTAAATTTATGTAAAATAGTTTTCATGTACATTGGAACCGTACCTATATGAAAATTGATCAAAAGTAATTTTATTACCCAAAAATAGTTTACTGTCTTTCAAATAAAACATAGAACAGTTATTTGCCAAATCCCTTTTTAAACTATTAAATGTATTATTATCTGCAGTGGCAAATACCATCTACAGAACTACATAAATAATTTTACATATTGCACCTTTATCTAAGATATAAATACTGATGAATTTTCAAATCCATTTTCTTTATGAACTTTCACTATTATTGCAAACTAACATCTAGTGGTTTGTTTTAGTTCATAGATACAAAGCCTTGCAAACTTGGTTAGGAGGTTTACTTGTCACACCTTGAGCCAGCCACCCTTCAGCCTTCAGGAACCTTCATGAAAATGGCTTCCTTCAATGTCACACACGGGAAAGCTGTTTTTACATCTATATGAAGTATTAAAAGGGTAAACTGGTTAAAAAGGTTATTATAAACCAGAAACCTTCGATTCTCGCCACCTGTGCAAAGGTTTCATTATAATCTATCAAGTGATGTTGACTAAAACCACGAGCAGCTAAGTAAGCTTTGTATCTAAATGGTTTTCCAATTTCATCATTTTCAATGGAAAATATCCATTTACAATCCACTATATTTTTATATTCGGGTCTTGATACTAATGACCACGTTTTATTTACCAATAATGAGTGAATCAATATCATTTGGTAAATCTGCTTTAATCACAGATTTACTATACTCATTATTTAGTTTAATGAGTTTATTAGGGTTAACATTTACCCACTTTCCTGGATTGTTATTCATCTGATTCAGCTATATCAGATTTATTAACCAAACCACCGATCTTGACAAACTGCCACTTTCAGGGGAAAGGTTTTATTAGACTATCCAAGATGTTGTCGAACTCAAATTAAAATGTCCGCCAAGAGGAACACAAACTCTTTGTTTGCTTGTCAAAGTCACGTGTTTTGGATAGGCTAATTACCAAAGTGTTACATCCATTTTTGACACTTTTTCAGTTCGGTTCAGTTCGGTTTATTAATAACTACTGATCTTGACAAACAATCAGAGGAAACAGCTTTATCATCAAAGTGTTTTACATTCACTTTTTCATAATCACTATTACCTACTAATATTGACTTACTCGAAACCCTGATTGAAAATCACTGGATAGTTTATTTCTATCTACCTATAAACTCAACAAGTTGCATATACACACCATTTTCTCCAAAATTTTGCCAATGGTGCAAAACAAATTTATTGGATGCAATTCACCGGAGGATTTTAATTTAACTACTTTGGGAATCGTGATTATAGTGGAAACTGAATGAATATCATTTGGCAGATTTGTTTTAACCACAGATTTACTATAATCATTCATTACATAGTTTGATAAGTTTGTGTGTTAACAGTTAGCTACTTTCTTGGATTGCTTGCTCATCTGATTTTGCTTTATCAGATTTATTAACCAGCAATCTTGGCAAACTGTCAAAGGAATCAGTTTCATCACCAAAGTGTTATGCATTCACTTTTTCAAACTTATCATTAACTAACCACTGATATTGACAAAGAGTCAGAAAAATTGGCTCTATGACCAGAAAAGTTAAACATTTACTTTTCAAGCTTATCAGTAACCACTGATCT